CTGCTTAGAGGCCCATTTCACAGATGAAGAAACTGAGGCTGCACGTCCCCGCCTAAGCCACAAAGCGATTTCTCCAGGAAGATACGGGAATTGGGGCATAAATAGCCCTTCAAAGCTCACCCACTCAGCTCCACCTGAGGCTGTAGGGCCCCGGCCGCAGCTGATTCAGTTTGGTCTCGGGGTGGGGGCGGGGGGAGAGATCGACCACCTTTCAAGGCTTCAAAGGGCGATCAGTCCCCAGCTCCGCTTGGGGCACTGTTTAGTACTATCGTCTCAACTCAGAAAGCCCCGACCTCCCTGTCCCGGAGTTGTAGGACAATTTCAAGGGAACCCCCAAATCTGGAGGGGGCGGGGCTCCTGTTAGGGAATGCCCGGGCAAGGAAAAGAGGGCCCAGCCCTCTCCCGCCCACGTGGTAACCGGTTAGACCGGTTCTTGGGGCCCCAGCGCGCCGCCGCCAGCCCCTGACCCTTTAACCCCGCCCCTCCCCCACCAGAGCAGAAAACCAGACAGCACCGGCTTTTTTACTCAAATGGTCTTTATTTTCCTATCTGACATTTCTAACAAAACGCCAGGTAGACGGAATTAAAAAGAATTCACCACACGAAGGGTAAACAAAACAGACCCTCAGGAACTCCCTGGCAAAGATATTCCCCCCTCCCCAGATTGGCCCAGTTTCACCAGCAACTGGTCTCAGCTCAGCTTTATGCCTTTCCACTGACACCCCCACCCCTCCAACATTCTCGTGATTCAGACCAGGAACTTCTGGGATGATTGTGTCCGTGTCTGAGGGAGGGGCACGCTGAAACCTGGGAACCTACTGGGCACCTCTAATGCAGATGAGAAAAACTTGAATGTGAAACTAGATCAGCCCCCGCTCTCACCCGAAGGTGCAGAGGCGCGGGACATTAACCAGCAGCACGCGGGGGTGAAGTGACTCAGGCCACTCTCCTCCCCACTCCCCAGGGCGGGTGCACGCCCCAGACCCTCCTCCCAGGCCCCACACCCACGCAAGGCGACAGGAAGCTCCCCACGCCTGCCCCATGACGCAACGATGACCGCTTACACAAGTATGTCAGTGGAGGGGGAAGGGGAGTGCCTGGAATTCTCCGAGGTTGGAAACGCAAAACCAACTCTTGAAAAACCTTGAAAAGGGCCACCACAGCCCCCAGTACAAAATCAAGTCCGACCCTGAGAAGATCTAAAAAACAAAACAAAAATACAAAACAAAAACCCAAGCCTCCCTTCTCCCAGTCCAGAAGGAGAGCGAAAGGTTCACGTCCCAGTCCACTAAGACAGCACCTCTGGGCGCAGGTCTCTGCGGAAGGCGCCCGCGCCCCCGGCTCAGACTCCTCGGTGCCGTCGCTGCACACTGAAGGCGATGGCTCCCCGGGGACAGAGTCCCTCTCTCCGGGCCTCTCAGCAGCCCGGGCGGCGGCTTCTCTCCACGGTTTTCGCGGGCGCTCCCCCCGGGATGGAGGGGGGTGGCCTCGTCTCGGGTCTGCGCCCTCCGGCCGACGGTTCGACGCGCGCTCTGGGATCTGGCAGCGCCGCTTGGGGTCCTCAAAAGGCCACCACGGCCCGCACGAGCACGTTGAGCATGCTGTCCGCCGGGCGGCAGGCGGGCTTTGCCTCGCACGCGGGCGGCGCCGTCGGAGGGGCCGCGGGGCTGCAGTTCAGGAGGCCGGAGAAGCGCCTCTGCAGGACGCGGGCCAGGTTGGGAAAGGCGCCCTCCGCTTGCGCCGGGGGCGGTTGCAGGCAATCGGCGACTTCGGATGACGCCCCCTCCTCTTCCTCCTTTTCTTCCAGCCGGGCTTTCTTGCTCGGGACCAGTCCAGCGTCCCCGCCGTCGCTCAGGCTGCTGCTGCGTCGTTTGCGGCTGACTTTGGCGGGGCGCGGGCCACAGTAGGCGGAGGTCTCCTCGGCTGTCGGCGCCTCCTGCGTGTCCATGGGCTCCGGAGACGGGTGCTCACCGTCGGGGGTCGCTGTCTCGGCCGTGGACTCAGCTTCCCGGGGCGGGTGCAGGCGAGGGTCAGAGGGGAGGGCGGGCGGCAAGGACACTTCGGGCTCGAGGGCCTCTACCTTGGCCGAGAGGTAGAGCTCCCGGGCGCTGCGCATGACCAGCGACAGCTGCAGACTCCGGTGCAGCCGCAGGCCACCGCGCTGCATGCGGGAGTGATACATCTTCCACACCGACAGGGTCATGATGCGCTGTGCCTCCTTCTGCACTTCCATGGCGACTCGACGGCGACGGCGGCGTGGGCTCCCGGGACGGACAGAACAGGCAGCAGGTGCACTCCGGACAACGGGCTCGCTCACGCCTCTCTCCACGAACCAACCCACGCGGTGACACTGCTAGGACGCTCTGCCCGGGCGCCCGCCACCCAGGCCCTTTTATACCCCCAGTGACGTCACTGAGAAACCCCGCCCAACCGAAGGACGCATCCGGGCTTTCCAACTCGTCGCGGCCAAACACTCCTTAAAGCGACAGAATGCGATTTACCCAGCAGGGAAAGGGGACGGGAACCCTGGCGAAGCTTCCCCCCACTCCACGCTGAGCTCTCTGGGTGGGCTCCTTTCTCTCGGCCCCGCCGATGCATTAGCGCCTTGGCCCAAGGAAGGGGGGCCGGGGATGGGGCTCAGGGCCTACCCACATGCTCGCGTCTGGAGGCCCCAGTGGGTCGTGGGTGGCAAGTTTCCCTTCACACAGGGAAAGACCTGGGTTCCAGCCTGACCATGAGTGTCTTCTGCACCAATAATCATGCTAACAGCGCTTACTACGTGCCAGGCTAGGTTAAGAGCTCTCCTTTTATCCGTAATTCACCGAACCGCAGCCTCCACTCCTCGGAGGATACTGTTCTATCTGCTTCTTTAAAATGGGGAAACCAAGGCACAGTCACTGGGCCAATATTTACTAGACAAACAATATTTGCTACTGCTGTGAAAGGAGGCCACTGGGGCCTCCAGCTCTTCGGTCTCTAGCGTACGACAGCCCTTGCTTGTAGGCGGTGAGCCGCTGCGGGTTCCCGTGATTCGTACCAAGCCATTCCCCCGCAGTCTCCTGCGACAGGAGCTCCATGGGTGGGTTTAGAGCTCGCAAGGCTGCGAACCCGGCGCGCACGACAGTCCCCGTGAACACGTGGCTGCCGCCCCCCAGACAAGGGGGGACGAGTTCCGCCTCCGCGCTCCGGGAGGCGGGGTTCGGTTGGGAGCTGGAAACCCAGCAATGCAGAGACACAGCAAATAGAAAACCTCCGCCCTACCCTCCGCTACGCGCCGTCTCTCCAATAAATCCTAATTGCAATTCCTCCAAAAAAAGGATGCAGACTTGTTCGAATGGCTCCATTCATTCCTGGTGCGGGCCCTTTAAGGGGTGGTGCGCCTCCCGTTTCCGCCCGCACTGGCTCGCGGCGCCTTCCCGCCACCAGCGCCCGCTGACTTCCACAACTAAATTTGGACGGAGTGACGTAGGACAGTCGCGCGGGCCGCTTCCGGTTGCCCATATTAGGAAAGGGCCCGTGATCGCCTTACCAGGCGGGGGCGGGGCTTCCGGGGGGGCGAGGGGCGGGGCTTTGCGCTCCGGACTCGCCCCTTCCCATCCCCCGTCTAGCCAGCCAGAGCAAGCTGGAGCCCCAGGCTTCCTGACTCGCATTCCAGCCATGTGGGTGGGGAGGAGAGTTTCACTTCCTTCCCTCCAGGGGCCAGGAAGGCGTGACGCCAGGAAAGCACCCCGCAGCGGGTAGGGGCGACCGGAGGGCTCCCACGAAGGCCATCTCCCAGAGACGCTACAGAACGACCCTACATACACAAGAGACGACCCGCTGAGACCCCGTTCATCCCATCTCTCCCCTTCCCAATTATTTCCCCCATACAAGGCCCCCTCCCAGGTTATCCCTGACCCCTGCCCCACACTGATCTTCTCAGGCCTTGGGGCACCCTCCCGTCCCGCCCTCCCCCCGCACGGTGGGAACTCAAAAATTATTCCCCCTTAAAAGACCATTCCCAAACTCGTCCCCATTCAACGATGGTGCCACACTGCGACGACCTGCCGAAGACGCCCCCGTCCCCGCCCCACTAACCTTACCACGGAGACCCCACAATGACTTACCCGGCCCAGGCGCTATCTCTGAGACCCCACGCAGCAACTCTGACGCGCAAGGGGGCGACCCTCTGAGGACTCCCTCGGATAACCCGCCCACCCTCCAGGGGAGACCAGGCCCCCTACCACTCAAAAAAGTGCTTTCCCGAAGCTTCCCTCACCCCTCAACACACAGAGCGCCACTGTCACACATAGGGACGACCCTGAGTCCCTTCGCTGATATTCCTGGCCCGTACCCAGACGGAGACCCCACACAGAGGGCCCCCCTGGAGACCATCCTCAAAGCCACCATACCTCCCGCGACCCCCAGGCTCGCACCCAGAAAGAATCAGCGCTTCTGAAGACACCCACCTCCACGCACGCTCTCGAAGGTGACCTCCCCCCGCCCCTGGAATATCTGGGACCCCCACTCACGGCCACCTCGCCCCAAGGCGACCTCGAGGTGCCCCCAGCTTGCCCACTTCTCAGGAAAGAGAGATTTGGAGAATGCGGCAGAACTCCCCGCAGGAGCAGGCCCGCTCCTCGCCCCGCCCCGGCAGGGAGAAGGAAGGACCACCTCTCCCCCAAACCTTGCCCAAACCTGACACTCGGGACCCTGGACTGGGACGATCTCCCAGGTGCCAGCTCAGGGAGTCCATGAAAACGTTCAACCAATCGAATGAGCCCCTTCCCCAGCCATAGTCCCCAGCCGCCAGAGATAAGGGAGGCTACCATTATTTACATTGCCCGTGCCTGGAAGGGAAACTGAGGTTGAGCAGGAACAATCCGAGGAACTGAGCCTTGAACCGAGATTCCGAACTCGGACCCGAACAGGCCCAGCCAGAACTCCGACACCGCTCCCTACGGTGCGGCACAAGAGGGCGAAGGGGCGGGGCATGCGTACCGGAAGCTGCCTCTGCCCACAACCAAGATGGCTGCAGAGAGGGCGGAAGTGTCCGCACGTCCGGCCTCCGAGGCCTCTCTTTCTGCCCTGGCGGTCCCGCTCTCGATGGTGGCGTGACGGGGGGCGGGGGTGGTGGCGCGTTCTCCTGGGTTGGGAGAGAACCAGCCCGCGAACCCAGGCCGGGAGGGGGTTTCGGCCTGGGGGGAAGGGGATTGACATGTCTCTCGAAGACCCCTTTTTTGTAGTCCGAGGGTGAGTGACCACGACGGGGGAGGGCGGAGGGTGCTCCGTCCCCAATCCAGCTAGTGCCCGGGTGCCGGCTCCAGCGTGCCCGGCGGGCTAGGCAAGGCCGTCGGGGTGCAAAGTGGGAGGCGCACGCAGGGGTATGTGGGGGTCTCCGGAGTCCCCCATGCGTTTGGGTTTGCAATCGGGGGCAGAGGCAGGCGGAAGGACCGCCTGCCCCCAGCTGCGCCCGCCGTGCCCCTGCCCGCAGCGAGGTGCAGAAGGCGGTGAACACGGCCCGCGGGCTATACCAGCGCTGGTGCGAGCTTCTGCAGGAAAGCGCGGCGGTCGGACGCGAGGAGCTGGACTGGACGACCAATGAGCTACGGAATGGCCTGCGCAGCATCGAGTGGGACCTCGAGGACCTGGAAGAGACCATCGATATCCTGGGGCTTTGTGGCGGGGGGTGGCATGGGAGAGCTCACTGGGGTAGCAGGGGGCCTGGGAGCCCGCCCTCGGGGAGGGCTAGACCCCTAGGGAGGGGGATGATGATGCTATCTGGCTCTGGCCTTGACCCTTGACTCTCAGCCCACGTATAGTGGAAGCCAACCCAGGCAAGTTCAAGCTCCCGGCCGGGGACCTGCAGGAGAGAAAGGTGTTCGTGGAGCGGATGCGAGAGGCAGTCCAGGTCAGGAAAGGTCCTGCAGGCGGGGAGTGGGGGACGGTTTGAGTGTCTTTTTTGTTTTGTTTTGTTTTCTTTTCTTTTTTTTAACAGAGTCTCTGTCGCTCAGGCTGGAGTACAGTGTTGCCATCTTGGCTTACTGCAACATACGCCTCCCGGTCTCAAGCGATTCTCGTGTCTCAGTCTCCTGAGTAGTTGGGACTTCACAGGTGCCTGCCACCATACCCGGCTAATTTTTGTGTTTTTAGTAGAGACGAGGTTTCACCATGTTGGGCAGGCTGGTCTCGAACTCCCGACCTCAGGTGATCCACCCGACTCGGCCTCTCAAAGTGCTGGGATTACAGGCGTGAGCCACTGCGCCGGGCCTGAGTGTCTTTCCTCCCTAATGCTGTCCTCACCTCCAGGAAATGAAGGACCATATGGTCAGCCCAACAGCCGTAGCATTTTTGGAGAGGAATAACAGAGAGGTAAGCCTTCCTAACCCACTCGGTCCACCTGAGCGCCTGGGGGTGACCACGCCTTTGAGTGCAAGCCAGATCCCTCTGCATGTGTTCGCCTGTCCCTTTTGCGACAGTGCCCGTCCTCTCTGTGTGCAGTTGTCTTCTTGCTGTCTACCTGCCTGCACTTTCTCGGTGTGTGCACCTGAACTTCTCTGTGTGTATATGTCCATGGGTTCCTCTCTACTGTCTCCTCTGGGTCTATACTGGTTTCCTGTTGCAGGGGACGGCTGGGGGCCTGTGTACCTATCTGCTTTCTGCTTCCATGCCATTTGTCCTGTTTGTAGCTGTTTCCAGGACGCATGCCTGCCTTTTACTCTTTTTTTTTTTGAGATGGAGTCTTGCTCTGTTGCCCAGGCTGGAGTGTAGTGGCTCGATCTCAGCTCACTGCAAGCTCCGCCTCCTGGGTTCAAGCGATTCTCCTGCCTCAGCTTCCCTAGTAGCTGGGATTACAGGTGCCCATCACCATGCCCAGGTAATTTTTATATTTTTAGTAGGGTTTCATCATCCTGGACAGCCTGGTCTCGAACTCCTCACATTTCACATCAAGTGATCTGCCCGCCTCAGCCTCCCAAAGTGCTGGGATTACAGACATGAGCCATTGCGCATAGCTTCCTTTTTTTTTTTTTTTTTTTTTTTTTTCCTGAGATGCAGTCTCGCTCTGTTGCCAGGCTGGAGTGCAGTGGCGCGATCTTGACTCACTGCAACCTCCGCCTCCTGGGATCAAGTGATTCTCCAGCCTCAGCTTCCTGAGTAGCTGAAATACAGGCACATGCCACCATGCCCGGCTAATTTTTTTTTTTTTTTTGAGACGGAGTCTTGCTCTGTTGCCCAGGCTGGAGTGCTGTGATGTGATCTTGGCTCACTGCAACCTCCGCTTCCCGGGTTCAAGCCATTCTCTGTCTCAGCCTCCCGAGTAGCTGGGATTATAGGCTTCCACCAGAATGCCTGGCTAAATTTTGTATTTCTTTTTTCTTTTTTTTTTTTTGAGATGGAGTCTCGCTGTGTCGCCCAGGCTGGAGTGCAGTGGCCGGATCTCAGCTCACTGCAAACTCCGCCTCCTGGGTTTATGCCATTCTCCTGCCTCAGCCTCCCGAGTAGCTGGGACTACAGGTGCCCGCCACCACACCTGGCTAGTTTTTTGTATTTTTTTAGTAGAGACAGGGTTTCACCGTGTTAGCCAGGATGGTCTTGATCTCCTGACCTCGTGATCTGCCTGTCTCAGCCTCCCAAAGTGCTGAGATTACAGGCTTGAGCCACTGCACCCGGCCAAATTTTGTATTTTTTTTTTTTTTTTTTTTTTTTTTAAGATTGTTTTCCACTGGTCATGGTGTCTCGCTCCTGCAACTCTGCTCCCTTCCCACTCCCCCCCCCCGTGCCACCCCCCCACCCCTTTTTTTTTTTAGTAGAGACGGGTTTCACATTTGCCAGGTAGTCTGATCTCCTGACCTCGTGATCCACCCGCCTCGGCCTCCCAAAGTGCTGAGATTACAGGCTTGAGCCACCGCGCCCGGCCAAATTTTGTATTTCTAGTAGAGACTGGGTTTCAACATCTTGGCCAGGTTGGTCTTGAACTCCTGACCTCGTGATCCACCCACCTCGGCCTCCCAAAGTGCTGGGATTAGGTGTGAGCACTCCCTTTTTTTTTTTTTTTTTTTTTTTTTTGAGACGTTGCGTCCGCTGGAGTGCGGCCATCCCCCCCCCCCCCCCCCCCCCCCCCCCCCCCCCCCCCCCCCCCCCCACCCCCCACCCTCCTCGCCCCCTCCCCCCAAAGTGCTGGGATTACAGGCTTGAGCCACCGCCCCCGGCCAATTTTTGTATTTTTAGTAGAGACGGAGTTTCATCATATTGGCCAGGATGGTCTCGATCTCCTGACCTTGTGATCCACCAGCTTTGGCCTCCCAAAGTGCTGGCCTCCCAAATGGCATGAGCCATTACGTCCGGCCAGCTTCCTTTTTTTTTTTTTTGTTAAACGGAGTCCTGCCCTATTGTCCAGGCTGGAGTGCAGTGGTGCAATCTTGACTCACTGCAACCTCCACTTTCCGGGTTCAAGCAATTCTCCTGCCTCAGCCTCCCGGGTAGCTGGGACGACAGATGTGTGCCACTATGCCCGGCTAATTTTTGTGTTTTTAGTAGAGACGGGGTTTCCCCGTGTTGGCCAGGCTGGTCTCGAACTCCCGACATCAGGTGATCTGCCCCCACCTTTTCATCTGTGCATGTACCTCACCTATTTGGGTGCGTGCACTTGGCCTCTGAGTGTATCTGCATTTCCCCCCGTCATATCCTCATATCCGCCAATTTTCTCTGTAATGTGCCTGCCGTGTGTGTGTGTGTGTGTGTGTGTGTGTGTCTGTGTTTCTCCCAACCACCCCTGTCAGTCTACCTTTTCTCTTGGTGTTCTCTGTTGATATTTTTCATATGTTGAGAACCACCAGCCTTTCTCTGTCCCTCATAAGCCTACATGGGGTCAGGGAGGGTCCTACCAGTTTGTCATCCCATAGCTGTGCCCACATGCCTTCCAGATGTGCTGCCTTGGGGGAATTGAAGTCCAAACTCTAAAATACATCTGTTGAAGCTGGGCATGGTGGCTCACACCTAAAAGCTCAGCACTTCGTGAGGCCGAGGCAGGTGGATCACCTGAGGTCAGGAGTTCAAGACCAACCTGGCCAACATGATGAAACCCTGTCTCTACAAAAAATACAAAAATTAGCCAGGCGTGGTGGTGAACACCCATAATCTCAGTTACTTGGGAAGCTGAGGCAGGAGAATTGCTTGAACCCGGGAAGTAGAGGTTGCAGTGAGCCGAGATCACACCAGTGTACTCCAGCCTAGGTGACAGAGCAAGACGCTGTCTCAAATAAACAAACAAACAAACATCTGTTGGGCCAGGTGCAGTAGCTCACGCCTATAATCCCAGCACTTTGGGAGGCCGAGGCGGGTGGATCATTTGAGGTCAGGAGTTCGAGACTAGCCTGGATAACATGGGGAAACCCCATCTTTACTAAAAATACAACAATTAGCCAGATGTGGTGGCAGGTACTTGTAATCCCAGCTAAAATCCCCCCGAAATAAATAAATAGTAAAATGTGACATTTACTAGCATTACTATGTGTTGGGTACTGCTCTAAGTGTCCCCCATGAATTAATTCTTTTTTTTTTTTTTTTTTTTTTTTTTTTTTTGAGATGGAGTCTCGCTCTGCCGCCCAGGCTGGAGTGCAGTGGCCGGATCTCGCTCACTGCAAGCTCCCCCCTCCCCTTCCCCCCCCCCCATCCCCCCCCCCCCCCCTTGTATTTAGGGAGGTTCACCGTGCCGGAGGCTCGATCTCTGACCGCCCCGCTCGCCCCGGCGGATTAGGCTACACGGCCGCCATTCTTTTTTTTTTTTTTTGACAGTCTCGCTTTCCCGGGAGTCTCCAGCTCACTGCAAGCTCCGCCTCCCGGGTTCACCCATTCTCCTGCCTCAGCCTCCCGAGTAGTGGGACTACAGGCACCCGCCACCCACCGGCTAGTTTTTTGTATTTTTTAGTAGAGACGGGTTTCACGTGCCGTGTTTTTTATTTTTGCTTCAGGTGGTTCATGCCGGTCTTGTTTTTTTTCTTTTATTTTATTTTTTTTTAGGTTACTCGACCCGGGTGCAGGTTGTTCATCCTGTACCTCAGGTTCGTGATCCTCCAGCCCCGTCTGGCCTCCCCACATTTTTTTTTTTTTTTTTTTTTTTTTTTTTTTTTTTTTTTTTTTTTTTTTTTAGAGGTTTTTTCCCTGGGATGTTTTTCTCTCTTCCTTCTTTCTCTTGCCTCCCAGTGCTGGATTACGGCAGAGCCTGACTACTTTTTTTTTTGTAGAGATGGTTTCCCATGTTGCAGCTATCTATCTTGCTTGTATCTCTGCTCGTCCAAGAGCTGGGATTAAGGCATGAGCCACTGCAGCCAGCCAATGACATAGGAAAGTCAACGTGCCAGCTGGTTCATCCTACCATATTCCCCTTCTCCAAAGTGGGGAAGCCGAGCTACGGTCTGTTCTCTGCATTTTACAGATGAGGAATCTGAGGCACAAGGAAGTCAAATGACGGGGTCTCTGGGTCACCTTGCTAGTAAGTGGTGAGTGGGGAATGCAGGCTCTCCTGCCCCAGAGTCTGCCTCCCTGACTCACCACTGTGGGGATTTGTCCCCCATGCCCCTCTGGGAGTTGGGGTCCCTCCCCGAGCCTATGTTGTGTGCCCCTGCAGATCCTGGCAGGCAAGCCAGCTCCCCAGAAGTCACTCAGCGACCTGCTGGATGCCAGTGCAGTCTCGGCCACGTCTCGCTACATCGAAGAGCAGCAGGCCACACAGCAGGTTTTGGGGCCGGTGGGGTGGATCCAGGGAGGGGAGAGTCTTGCAGACCGATCTGAGGTCTGAGGTCCCTTTATGTTGTTGTTGTTGAGATGGAGTCTTGCTTTGTTGCCAAGGCTGGAGTGCAGTGGCGTGATCTCAGCTCACTGCAACCTCCCAGCTTCAAGCGATTCTCCTGCCTCAGCCTCCTGAGCAGCTGGGATTACAGGCGCCCACCACAATGCCTGGCTAATTTTTATATTTTTAGGAGAGTTGGAGTTTCACCATGTTGGCCAGGCTGGTCTTGAACTCCTGGCCTCAAGTGATCCACCTGCCTCGGCCTCCCGAAGTGCTGGGATGACAGTCATGAGCCACCGCGCCTGGCCTTCTGGGGTCCTTTTCAACAGCACCTCCCACCCCTTCGCTCTGCAGCTGATCATGGACGAACAGGATCAACAGCTGGAGATGGTGTCTGGGAGCATCCAGGTTCTGAAGCACATGTCCGGCCGCGTTGGGGAAGAGCTGGACGAGCAGGGCATGTGAGGCCAGGACCCTGGGGGTGGGCCAGGGTCTCTCGGCCACCCTGGTGTGTCTGGGCCGTCTGGGGCTGATGCCATCCTGTTCTTGGCAGCATGCTGGATGCCTTCGCCCAAGAGATGGACCACACCCAGTCCCGCATGGACGGGGTCCTCAGGAAGTTGGCCAAAGTATCCCACATGACGAGTGGTGAGTCCCCTCGGGGCCGAGGTCAGTCCTAGTGGGGGCAGGTTGTAGGTGGTACCCTCTCCCCCGGTGACCTCTGATCTTCTCATTCCCAGACCGCCGACAGTGGTGTGCCATCGCCGTGCTGGTGGGGGTGCTTCTCCTCGTTCTTATCTTACTTTTCTCTCTCTGACCCCAGCCCTCCCTGGCAGGCTGGTCCGTTAAGCCTGGGGAGCCACCAAGCACTTTGGAGCTGGCCTAGCCCCCTAGGAGGAGAGGGTCCCTCCTGGGTAGCTGGAAAGTAGAGGTTCCTGCCTGGGGAACTGTCCCCACGGCTCCCCCCCAGAGCCAGTGGTACCCTTCAGGACCCTGGGCCGAAACCACCACCACTGGTCCTGTCTCAAGTGCACTTAGGGGGTGGTAGAGGCAGCGTCACCTCAGACACACCCCTCTCCATTTCCAGTTCCGGGACCCCAAAGCCATTCACCCCTGTGCCTTACACATGTGCCAACCTGGAAATAAAACGTCAGCCTTTTTTATACGTATTTGTGTCGTGTGGTGTGTGTTGACTGCAAATGCGTGACTGAGCCCTGATTGGGACTCCCATTCTAAGCCAGTGCTTGCACAAGTGCCCCAGTGTGTCTGTGCACGTGTGCGTGTTCCGGATTCCTTTTTTTTTTTTTTTTTTTTTTGAGACAGAGTTTCACTCTTGTCACCCAGGCTGGAGTTCAGTGGTGCGATCTCTGCTAACTGCAACCTCCGCCTCTTGGTTTCCAGCAATTCTCCTGCCTCAGCCTCCCAAGTAGCTGGGATTGCAGGCATGTGCCACCACACCCAGCTAATTTTTGTATTTTTAGTAGAGATGGGGTTTCACCATGTTGGCCAGGCTGGTCTCAAACTCCCGACCTTAAGTGATTTGCCTGCCTCAGCCTCCCAAAGTGCTGGGATTACAGGCATGAGCCACCACGCCCAGGTGAATCTTTTTTTTTTAATGGCTTAGGTTCTCTTGATCTTTTTATTTTTATTTTTATTTTTGAGATGGAGTCTCGCTCTGTCACCCAGGCTGGAGTGCAATGGCGTGATCTCGGCTCACTGCAACCTCTGCCTCCTGGGTTGAAGCGGTTCTCATGCCTCAGCCTCCTGAATAGCTGGGATTACAGGAATGCTCCACCATACCCAACTAATTTTTTATTTGTAGTAGAGATGTGGTTTTGCCATGTTGGCCGGGCTGGTCTTGAACTTGAACTGACCTCAAATGATCCGCCTATCTCGGCCTCCCAAAGTGTTGGGATTACAGGCATGAGCCACCGTGCCTGGCCTGTTTTGGGTTTGTTTGTTTGAGACAGGGTCTCTCTCACTCTGTCTCCCAGATGGGAGTACAGTGGCACAATGATGGCTCACGGCAGCCCGGAACTCCTGGGCTTAAGGCAGCCTTCCACCTCAGCCTCCTAAGTAGCTGGGACCACAGGTGCATGCCACCTCGCCTGGCTATTTTATTTTTGTAGAGACAGGGTCTCCCTATATTGCCCAGGTTGGTCTCAAACTCCTGGGCTCTACTGATCCTCCTCTCTCAGCCTTCCAAAGTACTGGAATTATAGGTGTGAGCCACTGTGCCTGGCTTCTATGTTATTATTTATTTATTTAGAGACGGAGTCTTGCTCCGTCATCCAGGCTATAGGGCAGTGGCACAATCTTGTCTCACTGCAACCTCCACCTCCCGGATTCAAGTGATTCTCCTGTCTCAGCCTCCCGAGTAGCTGGGATTACAAGCGCCCGCCACCACACCCAGATAATTTTTGTATTTTTAGTAGAGATGGGATTTTGCCATGTTGGCCAGGCTGGTCTTGAACTCCTGACCTCAGGTGATCCACCTGCCTCAGCCTCCCAAAGTGTTGGGATTACAGGCATGAACCACCACGCCCTGCAGATCTTTTATGTTCTTTCTTCCAACGTATGAGTGCTCTTCTGAATGCGTTGTGGAGTGTGTGTGTATGGGATGTGTTTCTGGGGCTTGAGGGATCAGCCACGGCACAGGCAGGCACTGAGTGAGCGAGCCAGTGATGCTGTAAACTTGACAGAGTCACAGCTCCCTTTTTCTATTGAGATGGGATCTCACTCTGTTGCCCATGCTGGAGTGCAGTGGTGCCATCGTAGCTCACTGCAGCCTTGACCTTCCCAGTTGAAATGATTTTCCTGCCTCAGCCTCCCAAAGAGCTGGGAGTACAGGTGCATGCCACCACACCTAGCTAATGAAAAGTATATTTTTAGGCTAGGTGTGGTGGCTCACATCTGTAATCCCAGCACTTTGGGAGACCAGACTGACCAACATGGAGAAACCCATCTCTACTAAAAAAAGTACAAAATTTAGCTGGGTGTGGTGGCGGATGCCTGTAATCCCAGCTACACAGGAGGCTGAGGCAGGAGAATTATTTGAACCTGGGAGGTGGTGGTTGCAGTGAGCCGAGATCACACCATGGCACTACAGCCTGGGCAACAAGAGTGAAACTCCGACTCAAAAAAACAAAAGGCCGGGTGCTGTGGCTCATGCCTGTAATCCTAGCACTTTGGGAGGCCAAGGCGGGTGGATCACCTGAGGTCAGGAGTTCAAGCCCAACCTGACCAACATGGTGAAACCCTGTCTCTACTAAAAATACAAAAATTAGCCGGGCATGGTGGTGGGTGCCTGTAATTCTGGCTACCCAGGGGGACTGAGGCAGAATGGCTTGAACCCGGGAAGTGGAGGTTGCAGCGAGCCGAGATCATGCCACTCTAGCCTGGGCAACAGAGTGAGATTCCATCTCAAAAAAAAGAAAAAAAATTTTTTTTCTTGTGTTGCCCAGGATTCTCCTAGGTTTAAAGAGGCCCACTGAAGCCAGGCTGGGGGCTTGAGTGTGCAGAGCCAGCTCCTATGTTGCGTTATCTGTATCTGTTTGGGTAACTTGCACACGTGTTACAATCGGAGGCTATCAGTTTGCAGTCAGCAACCTGGGGCTGCTGGGCACAACCCGGGTGTGTTCCTCCCTGGGCCCCCCAGTAACAAGCATGCAGCAAGGCTGTTACAAAGGCGTTTAGTTTATTCTCATCAGTATCACTGATATTCTCATGGTTCACATTTGCCAACGCCGCTCCTCTCCTTACAGTAGTTAAATGTGCAATCTCACTTGGGGGCCCAGGGAGGGATGGGGGCTCGGCCCAGGGTGGGGAGGGCGTTGGCACTTCACGTGGACAGGGTGGGCAGCCTGTCCTACGTGAAAGAGGTGTGGGTGAGTGGGCGGCCAGGGAAGGGGAGTTGGCAGGGGAGGGCCCCACAGTCTTTTTTCTCTGGTGGTTGGTGATTCTCCATTCAGACTCCTTCCTGGCTGCCCAGGGTGGGGGAACCATGCAGCTCAGGGCAGGACAGGGGAGGAAGAGAAGGAAAAAGCAGCAGGCCGCCCGGGGGGAGGGGTGGAGGGTGAATGGCAGGGCAAGGGGGGCACAGGGGTGGCTCCTGGGGTAAGGCACAACCCTGTCTTTGGCTCTCCTGGTGAGGAGTTTCCTCCCCTGCACCCCCTGCCCCACCCTTCTTCCCCCCCATCCCCCAGACCCACACACAGTCCCGGGAGCCAGGGGGCACCTCCTGGGGTCCCTGAAACAAGTGGGCTCTGCCACCCAAGCCAGTGCCACAGGGGCTCGAAGAGGGACACCCAAGGAAAAGGCAGAGAGGGGCAGGCAGGGGCCTACCCAGGACAAGGGGGTGGGGGAGAGAAGACCCCAGGCCCAGAAGCTGCCCCCCCACCCCAACTAAGGCCTGGAAGTGGGGGAGCTTCCTTTCGGGGGTCTGGCTGGAGCCCGGGTCTGGCTGGAGCCCCGGTCTGCCCCTCGGCCTCCGTCAGGCCCAGCTGCTTGCCAAGTGACCAGGGCATTGTGCTTTGGGGTAAACGCTGGGGTGGGGTGGCAGGCCAGGAGGCAGGGGGAGAGGAGGGGCGACTAAGGTGCTTGTGCTTTAGCTGGGGGTGTCAACATCCCCCACTCAGACCGGCTGGGGGCTAAGGTGCCAGGCCCCAGCCAGGAAGACAGTGCCAAGACCCCAGCCAGACCCTGGCACTCATGACTGACCCCCGCAACAAGCAGATGTTAAAAGGGACCCCCAGTAGGCCGGTGGGGCTGCTGGTCCCATCAGGGGGATGGTCTCCGAATCAGATTCCAAGGGTCCAGTCGGGGCTGGCCCCCACTCCATCTCCTGAAATCCCCCTGCCCCTGGAGAGACCCCTGGGAGCAGTGGGTAGGCAGGGGTTGGGGAGGCAGAGGGGAGGCAGAGGAGAGGCAGAGGAGAGGCAGGGAGGACGAGGGCCAGAAACACAAACAAGGATGTGGATGGTGAAATGACACCCCGCGTAGGGGGATGGGGAGTTTAAAAAAAAAAAAAAAACTCTCTGCCTTCACATGAAAATCTAAAACAACAACAAAAAACCACCCACTCTGGGTGAGAACAAAAAGAGAGGAATGGTAAAAGAGAAAATTCTGCAAACAACTGCTAACAATGGAAGTGGACCCGGCCCGGCCCGGCCTGGCCCTGCCCTGCCCTGCCCTGCCCTGCCCTGCCCTGCCCGGCCCTGCCCAGCCCAGCCCAGCCCAGCCGCCAGGAGCTGGGCCCAGCCAACCAGCCAAGGCCTGGGACGCCCTTAAACTATAGCCCTGTTGGGGAAGGTGGACAGGGGAGGGGGAACCCGGCGGGACCCACAGGAGCCTAGGCAGCAGCTGGGACTGGAGTCCTACCATGGAAACACACACCCACACCCCAGACACACACACACACATTCAGGCTGCCCCCAAGTCCCCCGACACCATCCTGCCTTCCACGGTACTCCCCACCCCTGGGGACCAAGGAGGACAACAGACACAGCCCCATTGGTTTGAAAAATAAAAGGAATCTTATACTTCAATATTTCATTCGCTAAAAAAATGTTTTAAAAATTATGTACAGGGGGTGGGGGCCAGGAGCCCTGCCGTGGGGTGGGGTGGGGGTGGGGAGATGGAGGGAGGGGCAGCAGCCCCCCAGTCTGCTCCCCTGGGTTCCAACCCAGGTCCTACTGCCTCTCGTATCTTCATTTGTTTGAAAGCAAAACTTTTGCACACACACACACGCACACGCTCTGCCAGCCCTGGAAACCTCTCATTCTATCCTCCGAGACCCTTGATCTGCCCCCAAGAGACCCCCCCCTCCTTTAGGACCTGCCTCTCTGAGGCCCCAGAGGACCAATGGGGGCAACAGAGGCGGAAAAGAGGAGAAAGGGCACCGGGCACACCACTGCCGGCCACCTTAGGTCGGTTGTGCAATTTCTCGGAGCCTCAATTTCCCCAGCTGTAAAATGGGTAGTCCCCATGGCCTCGCCTACCCCAGCCCCCAGGCGCAGGGACAGACGAGGGTGACAGGAAGGCGCTTTTGGAGACGTGGAAGCACTGGGAGGTGGTGGGAGGGGTCCTGAGAACCCCTGGGGCCCCCTCAAGTCCCAAGGGGCTGCAGTGAGGGGCGGAGGCTGAAGGCTTCCGCGAGGTGGCCCAGGGCCTGGGGAGGGGGCCTTCCCGAGACCCCCAGGCCAGCCCCCTCCCCTGGCGGGCCTGGTGAGTGTGGAGATGACGGCTAGGGGTTAGGTTGGGGAGCCAGAACTCCCCCACTGCACGAGTGTGTGTTAAAGAAGGCAACACGGACCCCACACCACCTGCCCTGCAGTCCTCTCCCGGCCCAGCTCTTGGTGGGGGAAGGGGGTGGGACAGGAGGGGCAGAGGGCCGGGAACATGCAGCACCCACCGCGGTCCTGGGGAGGGACAGACAGTAGCTCATGACCAAGATGGCGGGTGTGTGTGTGTTGGGAGGGGGAGTGTGAGGCCCCGCAGGAGGCCGGGCGGGTTACTGCAGGGCCTCGGCTGAGGGACCCGCCTCTCCCTCGTGGCTGGCGGTCTCGAAGCCATGCTCCACACCCATCATGTCCGGCTCGATCTTGCCCGTTTCACTGATGAAGGTGGTGTAGGCGTCATCCTCAGCCTTGAGCACCTTGACCTTGGGCATCCAGCTCTTGCGCACGACGCGGCGGGCATTGGTGCACATGTCGGCCGCGATGGCATTCATCTCGCTCTCCTTGAAGTTGGGGGCAAAGTTCTGGCAGTAGTCTGTGGGGCAGGGTGGGTGCGGCCTTGGCACGGGGGCCAGGTGACTCCCACAAGGCCTACTCACCAGCCCCCCCGCCAGCGTCTGCGACTCCCCTTCAAAGGGAAGACGAGTGAGGCCATGTAGCCAGGACACCACACCATGTGCACGCAGCCCTACACCGGACTGAGTTCAGCCATGTATGGGGATGTGTGGGTTTTGATGGGATGGCCCCGTGTTCTTGAAAAATTTGGATCATTTGCCAGAATTTAGTAACTGGGAGAGGCCACCCGAAAATCTAGATGCCCCCATGAGGAGTGGCTAGCACTGTCTGGCTGCCTCATCCCTCCCAGACTGCCCTGAGTTCGAGACCCTCCTGCCTGACACAGGCTCCCTGGCTTCCCTTCGGCACCCGCATCCCCCAACCACGAATAAATCTCTAAACAATCACAGCCGGTTTCCCAGCAAGGCTAGACTGAGTCCCAGAATGCTTCTCAACACCAAACTCTAGCCCCCTCTGAGAGCCAAGGCTGAGAGAAAACGTCAACCTGCATGCCCGGGGCCCACGCCCTGTCCAGCTGGGCCGACACTCACACTTGACGGCATGGAGCACGCGGCTGTCCAGGGGCTTCCGGCGGGGATCGTTGGTAGAAGAGCGGATGCCGGTGCCACAGCTGTTGGCCAGTGTGTTCCTGGGGGCAGGGGACATGGAGGGAGTCAGCGCTCAAGTTGGTGGTGGTGGGGACACGGGGCAACCCCACCCCCCTCCCTGCGGCTCTGGCAAGGGCCTTACCGGTCAAAGAAGGAGGCCAGGAGCCGCCGCAGGAGAACCTTGTGCCGTGTGCCTGCGCTGACATGGCAGTTCATCAGCTGCGCCCTTGTGATGTATACGTTGGTGCCTGGTGAGGGGAAGCCAGAGGATGGCCTGGGGTGCCCCCAAACCGCCACAGCCCCCATGATGCCAGGCCTCATCTCAGAACACCCCACGCCCTCCCTGGCTCTGGGTCCCAAAAACTCACCTAGGGACCTTCTCCCCTACACCTCTACCCACCAAGGGCTCCTTGGGACTCAGGGGAGGCTCCTTGGGACTCCCCCCACCTCATCAGTGCTCAGGAAAGGACAGAAAGGGTGGCTTCACCATCCTCAGGGCGCCTGCCGTGTGGCCGGTCGTGCCGCAAGCCTGTGTGAGGTGGGCACCCTGGCTATCACCAGCTAGAGATGAGCCCAAGCTCGGCAGGACCAACAGGGAGTGGAGGCTCACAGCCAGGAACTCTGACCCAAGGGCCAAACACAGTCGTCGTCTTTTTTTTTTTTTTTGAGACAGTCTCGCTCTGTCGCCCAGGCTGGAGTGCAGTGGCACGATCTTGGCTCACTGCAAGCTCCGCCTCCCGGGTTCATGCCATTCTCCTGCCTCAGCCTCCCCAGTAGCTGGGACTACAGGCACCCGCCACCACGCCCGGCTAATCGTTTGTATTTTTAGTAGAGACGGGGTTTCACCCCGTTAATCAGGATGGTCTCGATCTCCTGACCTCGTGATCCGCCCGCCTCGGCCTCGCAAAGTGCTGAACCACTACGCCCGGCCTCTCTTTTTTTTAAGAGATGAAGTCTCACTCTGTCGCCCAGGCTGGAGTGCAGCGGCCACCATAGCTCACTGCAGCCTTGACCTCCTGGGCTCAAGGGATCCTCCCACCTCAGCCTCCTGAGTAGCTGGGACTACAGGCATTCGCCCCCCTGCCTGCCCAAATTCTTTTTTTTTTTTTTTTGGAGATGGAGTCTCGCTCTGTCGCCCGGGCTGGAGTGCAGTGGCCGGATCTCAGCTCACTGCAAGCTCCGCCTCCCGGGTTTACGCCATTCTCCTGCCTCAGCCTCCCGAACAGATGGGACTACAGGCACCCGCCACCTCGCCCGGCTAGTTTTTTGTATTTTTTTTTTTTTTTTTTTTGAGACGGAGTCTCGCTCTGTCGCCCAGGCTGGAGTGCTGTGGCCGGATCTCAGCTCACTGCAAGCTCCGCCTCCCGGCTTCCCGCCATTCTCCTGCCTCAGCCTCCCGAGTAGCTGGGACTACAGGCGCCCGCCACCGCGCCCGGCTAGTTTTTTGTATTTTTTAGTAGAGACGGGGTTTCACCGTGTTAGCCAGGATGGTCTCGATCTCCTGACCTCGTGATCCGCCCGTCTCGGCCTCCCAAAGTGCTGGGATTACAGGCTTGAGCCACCGCGCCCGGCCAGTTTTTTGTATTTTTTAGTAGAGACGGGGTTTCACGGTGTTAGCCAGGATGGTCTCGATCTCCTGACCTCGTTATCCGCCCGTCTCGGCCTCCCAAAGTGCTGGGATTACAGGCTTGAGCCACCGCGCCCGGCTCCAAATTCTTAACCTAGGTAAATAACTGACCTTCACAGGAGCCCAGGAGTAGCTTTTCTACCCATGTGGCCAAACAATAATTGCCCATGCTCACCCCGACCCCTTAAGTCAGAAACCTAGAGGCCAGGCCTTGCTGTATCAGCACCTCCATCTCACCAACGCCCCCACCCTGAGGGTGGCTGTTACCAACACTACAGCACAGATAGGAAAACTGAGGTGCTGGGGGCTCCTAACTAGCTGCCCAGCCCAGGCCAGCTGGCTCCAAAGTTGTGGAGGGGAGAGATCTGGGGCAAGGCCAGCCCACCTGTCACCAGCTCCAGCTTCTCAGAGGGGTCGCCCTCGTCGTAGAGCTTGGGGTGGCAGCGGTTCCCAATCTGGTTGATAAGCTCAGCCGGGAGAGACGCCAGGTCTTGCCGAACCCGGATACGATTCCGGGACTCGGGGGCCACCTGCTCCGGGAGGGCCTCCACTTTCTCGGCTGCAGGGAGAGAGTAGAGCACGAGTGGCAGGAGAGGCAGGGGTTGCTAGCGGGCTGGGGGGCAGGGCGGCATCTCACCTGTCTGGCCGACGTTCATCATGCTGTACATGGTGTACATGTTGCAGATCTGCCGGTACTGCTCATCCATGCCCTCCTCGCCGCCGTCCTCCTCCTCGTCCTCCTCATTGTGGTAGGAGCCAGGGCTGTCGCTGGTGTAGGCGCTCGAGGTGCCCGGGCTGGTCCGCTCCGACGTGCTGGGCCCACTCACTACGCCCCCTGCTGCCGCCACCCCACCGGCCGGCTGCCCTGCTCCCGTGGCCACGGCGGGCTGGGCTGCTGCCACCACCGGAGCCTGTTGGGGTGGCGGGGGCTGGTGAGGCCGGTTGGCAGCCAGGTCCGGCGTGGAGAACTTGGCCATTTTGCGGCTGCCGTTGCTGCTGCCCCCGGCCTCCTTCTGGCCACTGTCCCACAGCCGCTTGGCCACGGGCATGCACTGCACAGAGTCCGACTCCTGCTGCTCTGTCTTCACCCGTGACACGAGGGGCAGTGGGGTGCTACAGGCTGGCCAGCCCGACGTCTGTGCCACGGGGCTCTGGGGCTCCGACGATGGGGCCTCCTCTGCGTGCAGGCCCTGGGAGTCGCAGCTTGGGGAGCTCACCTTGAGGAAGAACTCGGTGCCCTTCTCCATGATCTCCTGGATCTGCAGGAAGCCAGCCGTGTACATGAGCAGGAACTGGTCACCCACGTTCATGCTCAGCCGGCCCGTGTAGCAGAAGCTGAGGATCTGCTGGAAAGACTGGGGTTGCACGGCCGCCGGCAGCTCCACCACGGCGCTGCGGCTGTTGTTGAACAGGTCCCGGAAGTAGGAGCTGCTGGCAGCCAGCACGGCCCGGTGGGCCTTGAAGGCATGGCCCTTGACCACCACCGACACGTCACAGTACAGGCCCTGTAGCCGCTGCTCATTGAGGCACTCCAGGATGCTGTTGCCAAAGTTCGGGATCTCCATCTGCAGTGTCTGGGCCATGGCGGCGGCTGCACGGGGGCAGGGAGGAATGGAGAGACAGAGACGGAGGAAAAGGGTCAGGCGGCAAATGTGGGTGCTGGTCTAGCCCTGGCCCCAAAGACCTCCCCTGCTGGAGGGACATCCACACGATGGAATCTGCCATGGTGCTAAATCGCACAGAGCCCTCTACCCTATCTGTCCTGGTACACTCACTTTTACAATATGTGGTCAAATCTGCTAACCTAGTTGCAGACCAGGGTGGCCACGTACTGTCCCTTGCAAAGAGGAGGGGGCAAACGCATACTTATTCCGTATGTACTTAAAGAGTAATTGAATATGCTTAAGTGCTTGGAAGAGTAGCTAGGACACAGTGTGCTACCTCTGAGTGCCAGCTATTGCTAGCACCAGGTACATATATGGTATCTCTGCAGTGCACTGGCATGGAAATGCCAGTAAGGTAGGGTCATCTGACTGTGCACCAGAGTCTGCAGTGCTGGGCACATGCCCCTCAATCACTGTTTGTTGAATGACTAAATGATCACTCAAGAAATTACATGAGGTCGGGCGTGGTGGCTCACTCAAGTAATCCCAGCATTCTGGGAGGCTGAGGCAGGCAGATCACTTGAGGCCAGGAGTTCGAGACCAGCTTGGCCAACATGGCAAAACCCTGTCTACCAAAAATACAAAAATTAGCCAGGTGAGGTGGCGTGGGCCTGTAGTCCCAGCTACTAGGGAGGCTGAGGCCAGAGAATTGCTTGAACCCAGGAGATAGACGTTGCAGTGAGCCGAGATCACGGCACTGTACTCCAGCCTGGGAGACAGAATAAGACTGTCTCAAAAAAAAAAAAAAAAAAAAAAAAAGGAAAAATAAATTATACGAGGCTGGGTGCAGTAGTGGCTCACGCCTGTAATTTCAGCACTTTGGGATGGCGAGGCATGTGGATCACTTGAGCCTAGGAGACTGAGACCAGCCTGGGCAACATGGCGAAACCCTGCCTCTTACAAAAAATACAAAAATTAGCCCGGCGTTGTGGAGCACACCTGTGGTCCCAGCTACTAAGGAGGGTGTGCAGGGGTGGATCTGTTGAGCCCAGGAGGTCAAGGCTGCAGTGAGCTGTGATTGCGCCACTACACTCCAGCCTGGGCGACAGAGACACTGTCTCAAAAATAAATAAATAAATAAATAACTTACATGAAAACATCTCTAGTCATCAGGGAAATTACAAGAAAACATCACTAGTCACCAGGGAAATGCAAATCCTAACCACAATGAGACACCATCTCACACCCACTAGGCTGGCTAGAATCAAAAAAGTTGGCGAGGATGAGAAATCCGGAACCCTCTTCCACTGCTTGTGGGAATGTCAAATGGCACAGCCACCATGGAGAACAGTCTGATGGTTCCTCAAACGGTTAAAGAAAGTTACCATATGACCCAGCAATTCCACTCCTGGAATTCATGCCCAGGAAAAACAAAAACATTTGCCCGCATTGAAAACCTGTACACAAACGTTCACAGCAGCATTATTCACAATAGCCCAAAGGTGGAAACGATCCAAACGTCCATCTGCGGATGGATGGGCCAACAAAATGTGGTCAGTCCATACAATGGGATATTATTCAGCTATAAAAAGGAAGGAAATTCTGACACACGCTACAACATGGATGTCCCTGGAAAACATTATTCCAAGTGAAAGAGGCCAAACAAAAGGACCACAGATTGTATGATCCATTTATAGGAAATGTCCAGGACAGGCAAATCCATGCAGACAGGAGGCAGATTAGTGGTTGCCAGGGGCTGGGAGGCAGGGAGAATGGGGGTGTGGTGAGGGAAGAAAGCAAAGGTGTGTGGGGTTTTTTTTATTTTTATTTTTATTTTTTGAGATGGAGTCTCACTCTGTTGCCCAGGCTGCAGTGCAGTGCTGCGATCGTGGCTCACTGCAACCTCTGCCTCCCAGGTTCAAGTGATTCATCCTGCCTCAGCCTCCCTGAGTAGCTGGGCTTATAGGTGCGCACCACCACACCGGCTAATTTTTGTATTTTTAGTAGAGATGGGGTTTCACCATGTTGGCCAGACTGGTCTCGAACTCCTGACCTCAGGTGATCCACCTGCCTCAGCCTCCCAAAGTGCTGGGATGACAGGCATGAGCCATCACGCCCGGCTGGGGTTTATTCTTGACGTAATGAAAAATCTTCTAAAACTGACTGTGGTGATGGTTGCATAACTCTGTGAATATACTAAGACCATTAACTGTACACTTTAAATGGGCATGGTGTGAGCATCTCAATAAAGTTGTTAAAAAAAGAAAGGAGGAAACTGTGAGACTGATTTCCTTTGGGCAGAAGTGGGGAGGAGACTTGCAAAGTACACTTTCAGGTCTTTTGAATTTTAAACCTGGTGAACGAAATGCCTATTTGCAGAAGTAAATAATATTTAAAAAGAAATAAAACTGTGAAATCATGCCATACATATTTAATTCAAGCAAATTGGCTCAAAAGTGCTCGAGGGCAGGGAGGGGAGGAAGAAATGGGAATTTTTTTTTTTTTTTTTTTAAAGAGACAGGGTCTCATTCTGCCATCCAGTCTAGAGTGTTGTGGCAAGATGATAGCTTACTACAGGTCTTGAACTCTTTGGCTCAGGGGATCCTCCTGCCTCAACTTCCTGAGTAGCTGAGACTATAGGTGTACACCACCACGCCTAGCTAAGTTTTAAACTTTCTGTAGAGACAGGGTCTTTCTATGTTGCCCAGGTTGGTCAAGAACTCCTGGCCTCAAGCGATCCCCCACCTTGGCCTCCAGAAATGGGAACTGATGCTGCTCAGAGAGCCCACCCCCCACACTGAACAGCTTGGGGAGGTGGCGGAGGTGGGGGTCTCAATGTGTGAACTTCTGCATCAGACCCTGTACTGCCTCTTCCAGGAAGAAGAACTGGCTGTGTGGGACGTGAGAAGGCTGTCCTTTGATGACACTCTGGGGTAGTCATCAAAGGAAGGTGTGGCTTTCTACCTGACCCCACTGGCAAAAGTGAGAATTCTTTTCTTTTTTTTTTTTTTGAGACGGAGTCCTGCTCTGTCACCCAGGCTGGAGTGCAGTGGCACGATCGCAGCTCAATGCAAGCTCCGCTTCCCGGGTTCACGCCATTCTCCTACCTCAGCCTCCCGAGTAGCTGGGACTACAGGAGCCCGCCACCACATCTGGCTAATTTTATGTATTTTTAGTAGAGACAGGGTTTCACCATGTTGGTCAGGATGATCTCGATCTCCTGACCACAGGTGACCCACCTGCCTCGGCCTTCCAAAGTGCTGGGATTACAGGCATGAGCCACCGCGCCTGGCCTTTTTTTTTTTTAAATTGAGATGGAGTCTCACTCTGTCGCCCAGGCTGGAGTGCTGGGATTCCAGGCGTGAGCTATCACGCCCAGCCTCCTCTGTAATTCTATAGGGTCTCTAGAGTCCTAACTGGGCAGAGTGTGAGTGAGAAGTCTTCCCTAAGACAGACCTTTCCAGAGAGACTCCAGCTGGCCAGTGGGAGAAAGTAACAAGTACATGCAAAGGCCCTGGCGCAGGAATGCACACCTTCCCTCCCTCCCAGTTAGCTCTCAAGCACCTTCCATGTTTCATTAGCAACTCCACTCAGATCTGCCTCCCTGGGCTGGGCACTGAGAATACAGTGGCCACTCTGCTCTGATCTGGTAACACCTGTTCAGTCTGAAAGGGCTGCTGTGAGGAATAGAAGTGGCAAGTGTTCAAAGGCTCAGAGTTGCAACCTAAGTTGAGTCCTGGCTCCGGCACCAACCTGCTCCTCCGACCAGGAGCTCCAAATCTCTGCTTTCTCCATTTGGAAATCGAGGCTGAGGAGGCCAACTGATTCTACAAACTCAGCCTACACTTATTGTTACTGAATGATCATTCAAGAAGTTACACGGAAACGTCACTAGTCATCAGGGAAATGTGAATCCTAACCACAGTGAGATACCATCTCACTCACTGAGCTGCTACCCTGGCAGGCCACAGGCAAGATGCGGGCCCTGCCCCCTTGCAACACCCAGGCGAATGGAGGAACCAACTCACAACTTCTATGAACTGCCTGAATCCTCTTAGCAAGACTTCAGGGCTGGTTTCATACTCTCCTTGCAAAGCTGGAAAAACTGAGGTCATGTGGAAATTAAGGACTGTCCTGAGGTCATCTAAAAATTCATCCACCAGGTTCAAAATTCAAAAGATATGTCCTGAAGGGTGGGATGGCTCAAGCCTGTAATCCCAGCACTTTTTTTTTTTTTTTTGAGACAGAGTCTTGCTCTGTCGCCCAGGCTGGAGTGCAATAGCGCCATCTCGGCTCACTGCAACCTCTGCCTCCTGTGTTCAAGTGATTCTCAGCCTCCCGAGGAGCCGGGCCTATAGGCATGTGCCACCACTTCTGGCTAGTTTTTGCACTTTTAGTAGAGATGTGGTTTCACTATATAGGTCAGGCTAGTATTGAACTACTGACCTCAAATGATCCTCCCGCCTTGGCCTCCCAAAGTGCTAAGATTACAGGCATGAGCCATCACACCTGGCCAATCCCAGCACTTTGGGAGGCCGAGTCAGGCGGATCACCTGAGGTCGGGAGTTCAAGATCAGTCTGGCAAACATGGTGAAACCCGTCTTTATTAAAAATACAAAAATTAGCTGGGCATGGTGGCAGGTGCCTGTAAACCCAGCTACTCGGGAGGCTGAGGCAGGAGAATCACTTGAACCTGGGAGGGTGGAGGTTGTGAGCCAAGATTGTGCTATTGCACTCTAGCCTAGGTAACAGAGTGAGACTATGTCTCAAAACAAAAACCAACAAAAAAACCCAAGAGATGTCCTAAGGTATCGGCTACCCCCTACAACTTACATGCCAGAAAGTGGTAAGGCCGAGATTCAAACCAGGGTCTGTCTAGGCACTACAGCCTGTGACTTCCCTTGCTTGTATCCTCCTTCCTCTTCCCCTCCTCAAAATCACTGCCACCATCCTACAAAAACACAAACAAAACAAAACAAAACAAAATCCCAAAACATCCTTAGGACAAACAGAGGGTGGAGGCTGGATCTAGGAATCCCAGTTACAAGGCAGCAAAAATCTCCTCCTAGGAACTCAAACTCAGAGCTGAATGGGCCAGGAGCTGGCCCCTCTGTATGAAGACGCAGGAGAAACAAGCACCGTGTTGGGGGGCAAAGGACAGAGCCCAGAGAGCCTACTTCTGGGGTCCTGGCAGCCCTGAACCACCTCCCTAGGCAGCCAAATTAAAGCCACCCCTGGTACTGGGGCCCAAATGACAAGGACCAAGATGGTCAAGGGAAGAGGCTGGCACCCCAGTTCCTAGAGGGGTGCTCCAAGCTCATTCCCCAGGGAGGAGGACAAAGACAGGACAGGTGTGCAGTGCAGCCAAAACCCCCCACCTCCCTGTGCCCCAGTTTGTTCATCTGTAAAATGGGCTGTTCATCCAACCCATCCTGATGAACCAGATCCTCCTTTGTGGGAGGTGCTGGGGACACAGTCCTAAAAGGACCAGCTGTGCTTATGTGGAGCTGTCTAGTGAGGAGACACAGGGGATGATTTAATTACAGTTGGGGTGGGTATGTCAACTGAGCAGATGGCCTTGGTGGTAGGGACCATTAAAGGTTGAGCAACAGCCAGGACAGAGATAACACTCCTGGGCAGGAAGGTATCGGGTGTGGTCCAGGGATCCAAAGAAAGCTGGTGTAGCTGGAGGGCGATGCAGCAGGGACAGGACTGCCAGGAAGGGTATGGGACAAATGGGGTCCTGGCCTAGGGAGTGTGGACATCTTTGAAAGTGAGTCCCAGGGTCAGGGCAGCATTTTAAGAGTTGTATGTACAGGCCAGGCGTGGTGGCTCACGCCTGTAATCCCAGCACATTGGGAGGCCAAGGCAGATGGATCACCTGAGGTCAGGAGGTCAAGACCAGCTTGGCCAAGTTGGTGAAACCCCGTCTCTACTAAAAATACAAAAATTAGCTGGGTGTGGTGTGCACATCTGTAGTTCCAGCTACTTGGGACGCTGAGGCACGAGAATCGCTTGAACCTGGGAGATGAAGGTTGCAGTGAGCCAAGATCAAGCCACTGCACTCTAGCCTGGGCAACAGAGCGAGACTCCATCTCAAAAAAAAAGAAAAGAAAAAAAGAGTTGTATGTAGAGTTAAACCCTCCAAGGGGATTGTCAGCTCAATGAAGGCAGACATTCTGGCTGGTTTTATTCAACATTAGTTCTTTAGAATGAAATAGATGCTCAGTTAAATATTTGTAAATGTGTTAAAGAACAGTACAGAGAGGCTGGGCACGGTGGCTCACGCCTGTAATCATAGCACTCTGGGACGCAGAAGCAGGAGGATCCCTTGAAGCCAGGGGTTCAAGACCAGCCTGGGCAACATAGCGAGACCTCTACCTCGACAAAAAATTTAAAAATTAGTGGGGCTTGGTGGCTTGCACCTGTAGTCCCAGCTACTTGGGAGGCTCAGGTGGGAGGATCACTTGAGCCAAAAACTTAGAGGCTGCAGAGAGTGATGACTTTGCCACTATATTTCAGCCTGGGTTACACAGCGAGACCCTGTCTCTAAAAACAAAAGCAAAAACAAAAAACCGCATCCCCCGACCCCACTACCCCGCCAAAACCAACCAACCAACTAACCAACCAACCAAACAAAAAAACAGTGCAGAACAGGCAAAGGACTACTTCAAGGTGACCTTACCAAGCGCCCGGCACTGGCCACAGGTAATTTTTTTTTTTTTTTTTTAAAGACAGGGTCTCACTATGTTGTACAGGCTGGTCTCGAACTCTCCCCTTTGGCAATGGAGACTGAAAGGTTTTGGGGATAACAGGAGGCAACAGAGATGTGGGGGGTTGGGAAGGTGGCCCAGGTCCCCTCCTGAGAATGAGAGCCAACCTGATGCTCAGACTGGGGTCCCCCATACCTTGTGAACCCCAGCTTCAGAGCCCAACATCCCAGCACCCAGGGCTTTGGAGCCTTTGATTAGCAATTGGTCCAAACAGCTCAGCCAATTAGCACACGGGAACCCTCCCTCCCTCCATGCTGCTGGGGACGAGCGGAGTGGTGCGACGGGTCTGTGAGCCACAGTGACCTGAATGCTGTTCCGTCTGGTTCCCCAGTAGCCCCTGCACAGAGTGGACGGGGTGAGCTGCAGTGTGGGCCAGAGCAGACTCATCTCTGGGAACCCCTCCATCCGTCTGTGATTGGCCCAATCCTGCCCAATGGACTCAGGAGAAAAACTACGTGGGCCCCTGCAAGAAGCCCTCACCCACGCCAGCCCCAGGAATGGAGCTAGCATGACTGGACTCTCAGAGGAAACGGGTCTCTCACTGGCAGGTCCCTGACAGGGTCACCTGCTGGCTGAAGCAGGGGTGGGATGGAGTCGAGGATTGAGGCCTCTAAACCACCTAATGGTTCTAGTCCCCACCAAATCCCCACCTAGGTCAGGCTCAAACACACTGCCCGGTCCCCCTCTACTGTGGCGAGGCCTTTGCCCAAGCTGTGCACCCTGCCCGGAATACCTTCTTCCTCCACCCTCAGCTACTCACTTCTCCAGGCTACAGAAGATGTCGCTCTCCTGCCCCACCCCAGCCACAGTGCCTTAAGCTTACCTCTGAGGAAACTAAGTCCCACTTGACTATAAACTCCCCAAGGGCAGAAAGCCCTATCAGAATCATCTCTCCTTAAAATTCAGCATGTCAGCACCCCTGAGGGTGTGGGGGACAAGGGCAGGAGGCCACAGGGCAGCTGGGACCTTCCTGGCCAGGACAGTACCTAGTCCTGGCCCTGCATGTGAACAGATCTTCTGGTGAGACCCAAGGGCACAGCACACGGTTTCCATGACTTCCCAACAATTACTCAATAAATATTTGCCAGGTCCCTGCCTGGGCAGGCCACAATGGTGACAAGTAGCCCTGCCTCTGGAGCTCACAGTCTGGCAGGAGACAGGGCCATTCATCCTTGGTCACACAGATCAATGTGCTGCACACCGGTGTGACTGACCTTGCCCAGAAGCGGTGACACTGGAGCTGAGATCTAGGGAGGGCACTAGTGGATGGGGAGTAAGGCCCTTCCAGAAAGGGTTTTCACCTCCAGGGGACTGGGCTCAGTCTCAGGGCTCTGCTATGGACGGAGTATGTCCCTCCAAATTCACAGATTGAAATCCTAAGCCCCAGTGTGCCTGTATCTGGAGATAAGACCTTTGGGAGCTAATTCAGGTTAACTGAGGTCATAAGGGTGTATTAAGAAGGCAGCTGTCTGTATGCCACGAAGACAGCCCTCACCAGAACCTAACCACACTGGCACTCTCATCTCAGACTGAAAGTCCCCAGCACTCTGAAATGTAAATGTCTGTTGTTTAAGTCACCCAGTCTATGATATTTTGTTGTGTGGCAGCTTGAGCTAAGACAGGCCTGAAGCGCCATCTATTCACTGATGCCTCCCCCACTGGAGTCTTTGGCCCGGACTTCCCTGTGAACGCCAGACTTGCACACACCCCAGACGCCTCCACTCAACACTTTCAGGACCCAGCTCCAGTCCTTCCCAAAACCTGTGAATGCCGTAGCTTCACCAGCTATGGCCGTCCTCGCTCAGATCCTTGGATTCATCTTCAACTCCTTTAAAACCACTTTGCACTACCTTGGCCCCAAGTGACACTGCTTGGGCCCCTACAATGCTTTATTGGGGCCCCTGGCAGTCTGCCCTGCTTGCTCTCGGACCTACTAGAATGGGAATGGGACAGCCATAGCTCTTCATACTCTCCCCGGGTCACATAAAGCCCTTTCTCTACTCATTTTTTTTTTTTTGGAGACAGGGCCTTGCTCTGTCACCCAGGCTGGAGTACACTGGCACCATCATAGCTCACTTCAACCTCAAACTCCTGAGCTCAAGCAATCCTCCCACCTCAGTTTCCCAAATAGCTGGGACCACAGAAGCTACATCCAGCTAATTTTTTTTCTTTCTTTCTTTTTTTTTTTTTTTTGAGGCAGAGACTCACTCTGTCGCCTAGGCTGGAGTGCAGTGGTGGGATCTCAGCTCACTGCAAGAATTGTTCAAGCGATTCTCCTGTCTCAGTCTCCTGAGTAGCTGGGATTGAAGGTAACCACCACCATGCCCAGCTCATTTTTGTATTTTTTAGTAGAGCTGGGGTTTCACCACGTTGGCCAGGCTGGTCTCGAACTCCTGACCCCAAGTGATCCACTCCCCCCACCAACAAAGTGCTGGGATTACAGGTGTGAGCCACGGCGCCCGACCCATCCAGTTAATTTAAAAAGTATATATTTTTTGGTAGAGATGTGATCTCACTCTATTGCTTGGGCTGGTCTCCAACTCCCAGCCTCGAGTGGTCCTTCTGCCATAGCCTCACAAAACACTGCGATTATAGGCATGAGCCACTGTGCCTGACCAACAAAGCCCTTCCCCGCACCGACTCCTAAGCTTGATTCTCCCTGCTTGCCTTATCCTTCTTGGGCGTTCCTATGATTTAGCAAGCTGGGTATTTTTCTTTTTCTAAAAAAAAGTATTTTATTTGTGCATTTTTTAGTAATAGAGATGAGGTCTCCCTAATATTGCCCAGGCTGGTCTCAAACTCTTGGGCTCAAGCGATCTTCCTGCCTCGGTCTCCCAAAGTGCTGGGATTACAGATGCGAGCCACTGCCCCCGCCAAACTGGGCATTTTTTGGGGCTTCAGCTTCATGTCAGTTTCCCTGGGGCAGGGAGTTTGCCTGTGTAGACCCCTGTTGTGTCCTCTACCCCTAGGACCTGACCAGGTACACAGTGGGTGCTCACAGTCCTTTATGGAAAGAACGAACAAAGAATTACTTCCATTCCTCCTAATCTAACTCCCTTTTTTTTGTTCCACATTAACGTGGCTCAAACAGGAATAGGGCTCAGAAACATGATCTGTGGCTGGGCAGACAGACGACCTCCTATGACAGTTGCCAAGGTGGGTAGTCAGCAGTCAGGGG